CCTCCGGGGCAGGCGGGGATCGAACTCATGCGGAAGTGGCTTTAGCTTCTTAGTGCTGTGCTTTAACCCGCTGCACCACCAGGGAGGGCCTGAATTTATTTTTTAAAGTTTTATTTATTTATGCACACAGAACTGGGGTACAGGCCAGAGGTACAGGGGCAGATTCACCAGAGACAGAGTGGGGAGCAGAACAGGGAGATTGATGAAGTCTACTGCTGAGGGGAGCAGCAGGTGGGCCAGGAGAGGTCTGCCACACCATGTGGGTCACCTCTGGAGTGGGGGATAGAACCCACACTGAAGCAGCTGCAGCTAGCTTGCAGTGCTGTGCTCTATCCGTTGCACCATCAGGGAGGACCCATTCTCTGAATTTTAAGAGAAATCATATTTCTATGTGGAATATCCCAATAGTTATGGGCGAGGTTTGTTACAGGGCAGGGAGAGAGGGGCACCACTGAACCCCCAAACCTGCCTGCTCTAAATAGGTTCTGCCATCTGTCGCATCAAGACAAAACATATAAGACTTTAATGAACAGGAACTTTAATACAGTAAGTGTAAAATACAGAAGACAAAGAATATAATTTCTAAATCAAACACCTGAAGTTACCCATCCCCTCGTGGGTAAAAGTCCATCCAAAAGTGATTGGCCCAAAGCAAGGCCTGAAAGGCCACAAGAAAAGCACCTTCTGGCCAGGACCCATAGAAAAGGGTCAGAAATGGCCAGACTAGTCTGGGAGGAAAAGAGCAACATCAAAGTCAATATAAACACTGCCATAGCTCACCTCCCCACGGGTCTCTCACCCACATCTCTTTCAACCAGTCCTGGGCCAAGAAATAAACACAGTTTCTTCATCACATACTCTCTGCTCCAAATGGCTCCCTCAGGTCTCCTGGCTCTCCATCCTGCTTCCTTCTTCTTCTTCAGATTCCTTCTCCCCTCTCTCTTTCTCTCCTCAGCCCACCCTACTTCTGGGTAGGGCAGGGAAACCTGGAACTTCCCCCTTTCCTAGGACTACCCAGTTACGGATTCAGCACCCAGGTTTACAATCCCTGATGCCTAAGCCCTGTGGTTTGGATCCCCAGGCCCATGTGATGGTGTCAATTCTAACATCTTATTTTCTGCTTAGGTTAAAGTTGAGGAAGAGAGTGACGATGAGCTCTCCGAAGAGTTTATGGAGTCCTTTACAACCTCCAGTGGGAACACTTATTTTGTCTTTCTGCCCCTGGAACAAGAGGAGGAGAGTTGCAAGAAACCCCATGTCAGTCTTTCTGCCATTCTCATAAATGACACTCCCAATGCCAAGTTTCTAGAACAAGTGATCATTCCATCCAAACTCATTTCAGAAATTAAGAAACAGTGAGTGGAAATCCTTTTATTTACATCTTCTCGCCCTAAGTTTTGTTAACAACCTGAAATGTTAAAACAAAAGGTTGCATTTATTTCAGCCGGAGAAAGAGAATGTGTAACTGAGAGTCCAGATGGACACACACACACCAATAGTGTAAGCCCAGGAATTCCTTGCAGGCACAAAATCCTCTGTCAGAGTGACCCCTTCTGCTTTGCTGGCATGGGCCATGTACATAAGAAATAACATAGCTTCTGTCCACCCAGAATAGATACAACCAAAAGATATCATCAGAGTGGTCAGAGCAGTTTTTAACATTCCCTACAGGTTTCCAGTTGCTGCACGGCGCCACCAGCTCTCAGTGGGTCTGTTGCGCTCCTGGTACTGGTGTGTACTGACTGGTGGGTCCATCATGGCTTGAATTTGGACTTTCCTGATGAGTAACGGTGCTGTGCCACTACTCAAATACTTGTGGGCCATTTGGTTAACTTTCATAAAATGCCTCGTCAAATATTTCGTCATTTTCTCCTCTGGCTAGTGGATCTTTTCCCTCACTAACATGAGGGAGTCAGTTACCTACCCTCTATGAGGCTTTCCCTGGATCAATATATGCAAAGTGTTTATTCCCCTTCTGCTTTTCCTTCTTCCTCTCTTGGTGTCTTCTGATGAAGAGCAACTTCATTTTCATAATGTCCAACTTGTAATTTTTTGTCTTTATGGTCAGTGTGATTTATGTCTTGTCTAAGAAATCTTTACCTGCTCCAATGTCATGGAAATAACATCCTCTTATTTACTACATATGCTATTGTTTTAAACTTCCACATTTATATTCTACCTGGTATTGACTTTTGTTACTATGTGAAATAGGAATCAGATTCATTTCCCCAATATGGAAAATCAAGTGACCCTGGGTCACTTGATAAGACTCCTTTCTCCACTGCTCTTTCTCTGCTTTTCTGTATTTCTTTTTTTTTTTATCCTGGAATAAACAGATGTTTATTTGCGCCACTAATAGTTGACACAGATCCTTTTGATTATGATATTGTGAATAAGTACACAGGGATTCCTATTGTAAGTCACTACCTTACCTTGCTTATTTGCTGTAACTTTTAATTGTGCACTAATATTGAGTGGTAAAAGTCTTCCAGTGGTGGTCTTCACCAAGTCTTGATGGTGTCTATAAGGGCCTTTAATGCAGCCCTTTACATTTCTATGTAAATCAGTTCTTATAAGAAAACATGTGATGATTTTTTTATGTTATTGTATTGAATCTATAGAGATATCTGGGAAGAACCAACATCTTAACAATGAGTACCCAAAATATCATCATCCATTTAAAATATTTTTTATTATTATATTAGGTTTTTTTTTTACATATTTTTGTGCATTTTTCCATCTTAGCTGCAATCTCCTTTGGGTTTCCCATTACCAAATCACCCCTGTGCCACCACCATAGTCCAGTGCATTTCCCTCCCCCCACTGTTTTGATCACATTCCCCACTCCACCCCCGTAAAATGTGTCTGCTATATAGCTGTTCATCGTTATCATTATTTTCTCGCTTGTTCCATTATATTCCTGCTATCATCATCCATTTTTAAAAGGAAGAAATGGTAAATTGGGGAAAACATTTGCAGCTCACACCACAATCCAAAGACTTTATGTTCTCAATCTATAAAGAGTTGCTAGAGGTTGAAAAGAAAAAAATCAGCTAAATAGTAGAGAAGTGGACAAAAGACACTAATAGGTAGTATACAGAAAAAGAAAGTAAATAGTCTTAAGCACTTGGAAATAAGCTCAGCAGCAGTTGCAGCATGACAAGATCATCTAATTCAAACTTTTGGCAGTGCGCACTAAGGCCATAGGGGAAAGCATTGTCGGGGGGAGTTCAGGTGACTTTGTGGTAGAATCAATTTGGCCTTCTCTGCCAGAACCCCAGAGGTATTTTAGCCTTTGACTTCACAATTACAGTTCAGGGACTTTATTGTAGTACAGCTTCAAGGCGACATAAGTTCAAGCTTAAGCACTGCAGACTTCTTGGTATAACAAGCAGTGAGACACCATCCAGTGTCTTCCAGCAGGGCCATGGTTCATAGTAAAATGGCGTACTCAAAGAACACCATGCCATTGAAAATAAAAGAAGAACAAAAACACTGGTTGAAAAGATACCTGCACCCCCATGTTTATTGCTGCTTTATTTACAATTGGAAAAACATGGAAGCAGTCCAAATGCCCAAAAGTAGATGACTGGATTAAAAAGCTGTGGTACATATATACAATGGAATATTACTCAGCAACCAAAAAAGAGAAACACATGTCTTTTGTAGCAACTTGGATGGAGCTGGAAAAGATCATGCTTAGTGAGATAAGCCAGAAAGAGAAAGAAAAATACCGGATGGTTTCACTCATAGCAGGAGTATAATGGACCAGGCGAGAAAATAATAAGAATAATGAACAGCCATATACCAGAGACATTTTGTGGGGGTGGAGTGGGGAATGGGATCATTTTGGGGGGGGAGGGAAGTGCACGGGACTATGGTGATGGCACACGGGTGACTTGGTGATGGGAAACCCGCGGGGATTACAATTGAGATGGGAAAAAAAATGTACAAAATGATGTAAAAATAAACTGTTATAAAAAATTTGTTTAAAATAAAAAAAAAACCTGAAAAAGAGAATCAAAGAAGAGGTAGAGAAGGGGGAGCACCTTTGACATCAGTGTGGCAGGTCTGTCCCTGATCACGTCGCTGGCAGTACTGACCCTCACTGGTCTTTCCCTCAGGCTTCGAACTGGTTTTTTTGAGCACCTAGAGAAGTGGTTTGACCAGCGTTCCCTTCACACCCGCGTCGTTGCATCCACCAAGATCAATAAGCTGGAGTCAGAGCTGGAGCTGTATCTGCACCTGCACCAGCCAAGAGCCCAGATCATTGAAAAGGACATCCACAACGTCAGGGCAGGTACAGCACCCTGCCAGGAGGCTGCCCTGCCCCACCCTGGTGTCTGTGCCACTGCACTCTCTGCTCACCAGCTGCCTACTTGGCACCACACAATGTTTAGCTTGTTATCATTGGCCTTAATTCTCCTACTGTGATAGGGCCCGGGAGCCTGGAAAGGGGAAGGAGGCCAGACCTCAGATACCTTCATTTGCATTTATACTTAATACACATGGATGAGAAACTAACCAAGTAGAGCCACAAGGCCACAGGCCAGGTTGTTTGATCCCACAATTCTCTCACTGCTCCAGGCAACAGGCAGAGAGTGAAAATCAAGGCCAGGGCCTCCTGGTAGGCCAAGGGTTAAGGTTCAGCACTATGAGGCAATCTGTGGCCGCCCCAGCTGGGGACCAGGGACCAGACTCACATGGCCCAGCAGACCTCTCCTGTCTGGTCTGCTGCTCCCCTCAGCAGTGCATTTCAGTAGATCTGTCTGTTCTGCTCCCCACTTTGTCTCTGGTGAATCCTCTTACCCCCCTGCACCTCTGTCCTGTACTCCAATTCTTGTATGCATAAATAATAAATCCTAAAGAAAAAAAAAGAACATCGAGTCCAGAGAAATGAGTCCCAAAGCCATGCTATTTGTTTAAGACAGAACCAGAACCGTGGCTCCTTCACCATTCTAAGCAGGTGGGAGATCAGATTGGGATTCCAGTTAGCACCAGGGGCCTGAGAACTCCTGAAGGCCAAATCCTGGTTCCTTCTACTCCACTGTGGCAGACAACACAGCTGAGGCTCACTGGAGATAAGCTGGTGCTAGGACAAAGAAAATAACTCACACTGCCCAGAGCTGTGCTGGTTTTCTCCCAGGAGCTCTCACTGAGATCCCCACCCTCCCAAAGCCTCCACCCCCCCCCCACTTCCCCGCCCTGCTCCCTGGTGCTTTCCTGAGGCTCCACGTCTCCCAGGTTTTGTTCTTTTCTTCTGTAAGCACAGTGTCAGCAGCAGCAGGAAACCCCTGCTCAAGGCAAGGCAGCTCCTTCTCTCCAGTCAGACCCCCTGGGCGGGAAGGGGCGTCTCACTGTGGCCTCTGATATCTGCGCCCATTCCCAGGCCAAGCCCTGGTGAAGGCAGCAGTGGTGAGATAGGGACCTTGACCTAGGTGGTCCCTGCTCTGAGGCTGTCCATAACCAGAGGTGACCTGGGATCCCAGCACGCCCTTGTCCTTTTTCAGCTGAGCTCTTGCTACACCAAGAGCGGCTGGACAGCCACTGTGCTGGGGTGGTCGAGACCCTGAAGAAGGAGAAGATGATGTTTTACCAGTTCCAAGAAGAGCAAAACATGCGGAGCAAAAACTTCCGCCGCAAGATTTACGACATGGAACATGTCTTCTTGAATGCCACTAAAAGTCAGAGGTAAGAGCCCTGGGGGCCTCTCCTGGACCTCGTGGCTCTATAGGGTCATCTGCAGGGTCAGCCCTGCTGGTCCAAAGAGTTTCCAGCCCCACACAGCAAGCTCCACTTTTCGGTAAGCGTTCCACTGTGTAAAACTGGGCTGGGGGCTGAGGGTTGGGGGGTGAAGAATGTGCACCCCATAATGTGCACCCCGCAATGTGTACCCCACAATGTGCAACCCACAATGTGCACCCTGCAATGTGCTCCCCGCAATGTGCATGGTGGGAAGACCACTGCCCTCAGGGGAAAGCAGAAGAGTTTCCTGCAGGAGGGTCCCTGGCCCAGGACGGAGGACAGTGTGAGCAGGTGGAACTATCCCCCCAGAGTAGATGCTTCTGCCCAGCTCAAGGTGGGGATGTGCTCAGGGCAGAGCCAGAGTTCCAGAAAGAACACTGAGGGTTTGAGATGGAAGCTGTTGCCCAGGAAGGCCTCAGCCAGGTAACAGAGGAGGGGTCCTCATATCCTTGTGCACAGCAGTCAGGTGCATAAGAGGCAGCTGGGGGTTGGGGGTGGGGAGATAAAGAAAAACTCGAAGCACACCGTTGCTGGAGAGCAGCCAGGTACAGGAGCTGAGCCGCTGGGAGTGAAGGCCTGTGCTGGGAGGAAGAGAAAGACCTCTTACGCCTGGGACTCTTTTACCAGTTTGGCAAGAGGCAGAGAGGTGAGGGACGCCTCTGACGAGCACACTGAGGCCTCCGCACTGCGTCCCGCACACCTGCTTGAACATCCCTCCAATGCCTCTTCTGCGGGGTGGGAGGGGG